AGAGGAGAGAGAGAGAGAGAGAGAGAGAGAGGGGCAAATGATTGTCAGTCCCAATTGCAACAGCATGTGTGTCTGTGAGTGCAGAGAGAGAGATTCGGAGTCTGAGGGGCCAATGATTGTCATGTAGTCTCCGGTGGTCCCACTACAGCTCATCATGCAGGGCGGGCCCCCCAGCCTGGTCCAGGGCCCCCATCAGTAGCAGGGCCCCTGTAGTGTTGTCCCTCACCAGGACCATGAAGGAGTGGTCGGCGTAGAACAGCTTGGGCTTCTCCACCTTTTCGTCCCCCAGCTCAACCGATCCCTCCCCAGACTCGGAGCCCAGCTCCAGGGAGGCCCAGTGGAGGACGGCACCTAGGTGGAGCCCTTTCCCCTTTCTCTGGCCCTTGGCCACGGAGGCCCCAGAGAAAACAAGAGAGAAAGACAATCAGTACTTTAGACATGGACGGACACAAACTCAATTAAATTCCCCAACTACAACCTCCTAACTCTCCACTAGAACATGTCCCGCGTCAGGAGACACCAGCTCAGGGCGTCTGCCTCCCTCGCTGCTTAATTATGCAAGCAAAGTCCAAACAATGTCGGGTGGATTAAAAAATGTCATATGGGGAGTGGGGGAAAAAACACTGCAGTCTTCCAAACTCGCAAATCATCAACACAAATATAAACAAAACAAACAAAATGTACGGTCTATCACAAACTAAATATTTTCTCCCAAATTCAATCAAACGCTGACAGATGACCTTGTTGCGACGTGACGGTACAAACGCGATGTCTGGAGCTGCTGTGTGTGTGTATCGTAGAGGCGGGCAGGGAAGTGTCCCATGAATAATGTACGAGGGATGGTTCTATGCCTCGTGACCTCACCATGCAGCCACCTCCTTTGTTGTGCCTTTGATATGAATTCCAACAGGAAGATGCAGCATCGTCACGGTGACAGCTATTTTATACTTCCACATGCAGAAGAGAGGACCACTCACACTCCACATGACAGACTACCACAGAGGGTAGTGGGGGGAGGGATGGAGGTAGGGGGGAGGCAGAGGTGCGTAGGGGGGAGGCAGAGGGCAGGGGGGGTACAAGCCGAGGGAGGTCGAGGGCGAGGGCGAGGACGGAGAAGTGAGTGAGTGATGATGCTGTTTTCGTGCATTCTGGGTAGTCTGTTGTGAATACGACCACCTTTGTTGATAATGATTCGCTATCTAATATTTTCCCATCTGACAGTTCACTATGCGAATCACAGACAATTTGATATTATTCACATAAGGCAAAACATTATACAAGACTTTTAGTTGTTAGGTTTTTTAAGTGATTTTCATGCCTCCGTGTTACAGACTCCCAGACTCAATAGAAAGGAGACTGTTCTATATAAAGTAGATGCACCAGTAAGAGAGGGCTAGTTATTAATAGAACAGGGACCTTGTCAGTTTGTGTCACCTGCTTTAACATGATACAACTGGATCCACTGCTTCCATTTTACACGATGCGTGTCCCTGCTCTGTTCCCCCTCTCCTGTGCGTTCACGGCAGTCCACACACACACACACACACCACCCCCTGCTCTCTAATGCACTTCTATTGTCCTCATCTATTATTCCTCCCTTCTTCTCCTGTCTTCCGCCCTCCACCACTTCATCACTGTCTCTCTCCGCTGCTCTGCCACCTCTGTGGCATCCACATCCCTCATCTGCCCCTCGCACCTCTATTCTATCCTCCTCTGTCTTGCTCCCTCTATTTCTCACTCGCTCTTTTTCCCTTTCTCAGATCATCCTTCTCTTTTTGGACGTTCGTAACCTTGTATACATCACTCTTTGCCATCGGCAATCATTCCAAGGTTTTTCGGTGCCTTATCTTCCAGTTAACAGAAATAGACTTCAAACTAGTGAATAACCACACTTCTAGGAAGACAAACGTTCTACACACCACAATAAACAGTCTGGCAGAATTCTCCTAGCCTTATCCCAGATCTGTTTGTGCTGTCTTGCCTACTCCTATGGTTATTGTCAGCCATTGGCAATACAGATCTAGGATCAGGTTACCTCTCCTCCTCCTCCTTAACTGCATGTAAAGTTCTCTCTCTCTCTGAGAAGTCAGTTAGTCCCGGTTTGCCTGACCTTAAGCAGCCTGTTGCCACGGCAGCAGTTAACATGGGCACCGTGTCTCATCACTGTCGTACTGACACCAGAAATTACAGTCACACAGTGACATTAGCAGGCAACTTCTTGTGACTCCCATATAAATAGAACATCACTTTCTCCCTCCCTCATCAACTGCTCCCTCCCTTCAACAGAGCCAAAGCTCATTCTGGTGGAAGACAAAAGCTCAGAGGGGCTCTGTCTGTTGTTAATGTTTAAAATATAATGTGGCTGTCGCACTGTGGTACGGCGGTATAGGTGACACTGGTGCGCCAGGGCCAGGGCAGGGCTCCAGTGGGCAGGCTATGGGGACGTGTAGCGCATTACAGCAGCACTGTGGCCTTCTGGGAGCTCTGTGGAACTTTCCATGCCCTCTCTGTAATGTACTGTACAACTAACAACTATAAATCTATGAGATGTGCTGGGGAGTATCCACAGCCATTGTGTTCTGGTGTGTGTGTGTGTGTGTGTGCGTGTGCGTGTGCATAGTGTTGTCCATTGAGATCTGCTTTCGCCAAGCTATTAGAAGACAATGCTAAAGGCATTGTCAGTACCAGTTCACTATGTAGGCTCCCCCTGACTCCGTTTCCTCCTTATCCCAGAGCTCTAACTTCGCCTTCAGCGCTGTCTGGGTCTTGGATGCGTAGCAACTCTCTCGTGTGGTGTGCTCGGTCTCAAATTAATTAGTCGGACGATTGAGGAGAGTAAGTGGCTTCTGGATGAGGCTTTGGATGAGAGGGCAAGGAAACGAGGGGAGTTGGATGCAGGTGTAAAGGGCCATAGGCTTCTTTCTGCTGGTATTTAAAGAGACGGAGAGGGATAGAGAGGCCTCGATGGGCCCAATGTGAGAGTGACAGATGACGAGAGGACAAGGCACGATGGAAAAAGAGATGAGGGGGTTAAGGAGGAGACAGGGAGCGGAGGGAGGGTTTTTCTAACAGCCACTCATCTCTTGTCTGACTATGCTTGCACAGCATGAGTTGCTATGGGACTAACCTGATTTAACAAAGGGTTAATAAAGCTCAATTGGTAGAGCATGGCGCTTGTAACACCAGGGTAGTGGGTTTGATCCCCGGGACCACCCATACGTAAAAATGTATGCGCACATGACTGTAAGTCGCTTTGGATAAAAGCGTCTGCTAAATTGCATATTATTATAAACATATTAGCAGACGCTCTTATCCAGAGCAACTTACAGTTAGTGAGTGCATACATTTTCATACTGGCCCCCCTGGCAAACGAACCCACAACCTTGGCGTTGCAAGCGCCATGCTCTACCAACTGAGCTACACGGGGCCATACACTCAGCTCATGCTTTCATTTCCCTCTTTTTCCCCTCTCTATCCTTCACTCCTCTCATTTACCTCTCCTTTATGTCTTTCTCCCTCTATTCTCTTCTCTTTCTTCAACCAACCTTGCTTTAGAATTCATCGGAGGGATGCATAATCTCCCAACATGCTTAACAGCATAAACAACAATACCACCAGCATCTAATTAAAAATATAAAACAAAAAGGGTTGCATAATGCATGGACTGGAGCGGTGCAACACACACACACACACACACACACACACACACACATGTCCTGCGTTTCTGTACGTCTGTAGTGGCGGAGCACATGGGAATACAAAGTTATAGGACGTGTGTGTGTGTGTGTGTGTGTGTCGTCGTCAGCAGTGGCTCAGCCCACAGAGACACATGTTTAATTCAACCCTATAAAGAAAGTCAAAGCTCACCTCAGGACACCCTCTTGAAAGCCTCAAAGCTGCTCTCACTCTTAATCAGCAGCCAGCGCCTCCCTCCCTCCCTCCCTCCCTCCGTCCCTCCCTCCGCCACTGATGTCTTATTTACATGGCCCTCTACCTCTCCTCACTCCTCTACTTCGTTTGCTCTATCATTACCTTCACTTATTCATGCTTCCCTCTCATCCCTCCATCCCTGGCCTCCATCCCCTTGTTCATTTACATTGCCCTCTATACCTCTCCTCTCCTACACTCCTCTGTCAATACCTTCTTATTCATCCCTCCTTCCCTCATATCCCTCTTTAACAAGCCCTCTACCTCTCCTCGCCTCTGCTCTGTCGATACCTTCTCTTATTCATCAGGGTAGGGGTGGTAGGGTTGGGGGGGAAAATATTATAAAAAAGTTTAGAAATTATGCAAACAATTAATTTGATAGAACCCCCAATCTATCTGCAGTATTAAAGCTGATCTACACCTTCAAATATTGTTATTTATTTTAAAAAACGAATTCATCCCTCCACCACCTTGTTTGTTTACATGGCCCTCTACGCTCTGTCAATACCTTCTCTTATTCACAAGGCCCTCTACCTCTTGTCTATCTCTCCTCTGCTCTCTCAATACCTTCTGGGTAAATCCATTTCATATATTTTCCAGTGATAAGGATATAGATGTCTCATGGTATGGTGGACTATGCAAAATGGGTCAACTTTGAGCATCTTTATTTCTTGAATGCTTTGGCATTCAGGTCCAAAAAGTCACTTTCTGAGCCCTTCTACAAATATGTATGGAAGGTTTCGTTCAAATCAAAAAGGGTTTCGTCAAAACGTTATTGAATTCAAATGAATTTACCTTTCGCTTATTCATCCCTCCATCCCTCATCCCTCCATCCCCTCTGTTCCACGAGGCCAATATTACAGCGTTTAATTGGCTCATGAAAAACCATAGGCTTTTTGAGTCATTTGAGGCGGTAACTGCAGAAATTAAATCCACCTAATTCATTAATATGGATTAATGATTGGCCTATGATAAACGGTACAACAGGGAGCTCTCCCCATGGTTGTGATACTGTACACAGTGAAGTGTGGCACTGTGAATGATGACCTCATTAGACATGACTGAGCTCTCCTATGTCTCCTGCTTACTCATACGTCTTCATTGTGGACTGGAACCCAGACCGGTACTCTGGCGTGTGTGTTTATTTGTGTGCGCACCACTCTCTTTCTCTCCACTGTGCCATGGCTCCTCCATCCCAGCCTGCCCTTCACCAGAGGAGAGAGTGAATGAGTGAACCAAGGGCTATTTTTAGTCACTTTCGCGTTCCACCTTGTCCCCCAGCGCTCGACCCAGCGCCCCTCCCTCCCTCCCTCCCTCCCTCCCTCCATTCCCTCCCTCCCTCCCTCCATTCCCTCCCTCCCTCCATTCCCTCCCTCCCTCCCTCCACCTCCTAACCCCTCGCCTGCTGAATGTCACTCCTATTTAGGTCAGCAGGACCACTGAACGATGCCACATTAGCATGTCATGTGATGGGAGCCCCGACCGGGACAGAACTAGGAGGACTCAAGAGTCAAGAGTAAAGGATGACTACACAGGCAGGGGATGGGATGATGGGCCAGAAAGAAGCATACATGAGTCAGGAGAAGAGTTGTGTATGTGTATATTTGTATTTGTGTGTGTGTGTTGTGTGTGTGTGTGTGTGTGTGTGTGTGGTGTGTGTGTGTGTGTGTGTGTGTGTGTGTATGTCCGTGGTGTGCATATGGCGCCATAGGATTGAACGGTTAGTCACGGCCAGAATCCCCTCGCGTGCCAAGCTTCTAGGTTCTCCTCCAATAACGGTGTAGAGATATCGCTAGACCACAACATCAAGCTTACGCTACGAGTCTAATGACAGAATGACAGCGAACAAATCAGCTCTCGGAGTCTGATCATCTGAAGAAAACTTTTGTTGTTCCAGATGTTCTGACTACGTGACAGGGAGAGCGGTTTGGGGGGGGAAAAAAAAAAAAAATTTTTAAAAGGTTTTTTGGGGGTTTTTTTTTAAAAAAAAACCCCCCTTTTACCCCCTTTTTCCCCCCAAATTTTTTTGGGAAAAAAAAATTTTTTTTCCCCTTTTGGGGGGGGGGAAAAAAAAAAAACCTTTTGGTTTTAATTGGGGAAAAAAACCCCTTCCCCCCCCCCTTTTCCCCGGGAAAGGGGTGGGGAAAAAAAACCCCATTTGAAATTTTTTTTTTTTCCCCCCCTCCAACCCCCCCCCCCCCCCCCCCTTTTTTTTTTTTTTTTCCCCCCCCCCTTTTCCCCCCCCCCCAACCCCCCCCCCCGGGCCCCCCCGGGGGGGGGGAAAAAGAAAAACGGGAAAAAACCTTTTTTTCCCCCCCCCCGGGGGTGGGGACCCCAAACCCCCCCCCCCCCCCCCCCCCCCCCCCTCCCCTTTTTTCCCCCCCCCCCTTTTTTAAAATTTTTTTTTTTTTTGGGGGGGGTTTTGGGGGGTTTTTTGGGGGCCCAAAAAGGGGTTTTAAAGGCCCAAGGGCCCCCCGGGGGGGGAAAAAAAGGGGGGGGGGGTTTCCCCCCGGGGGGGGGGGCCAAAAAAAAAAAAGGGGAAAAAAAAAAAAAAAAATTTTTTTTGGGTTTTTGGGGTTTTTTTTTTTGGGGGTTTTTTGGGGGGGGGGGGGTTTTTTTTTTTTTCTTTTTTTTTTTTTGGGGGGGGGGGGGGTTTTTTTCCCCAAAAAAGGGGAAAAACCCCCCGGGAAACCCCCTTCCCCCCCCGGGGGAAGCCCCCCCCCAAAATTTTTGGGGGAAAAAAAAAAATTTTTTTTAAAAAAAAAAAGGGGGGTTTTGGGGGGGTTTTTTCCCCCTTTTTTTTTTGGGGCCCCCTTGGGGGAAGGGGGGGGGGAAAAAAAAAAAAAATTTTTAAACCCCTTTTGGGGGGGGCCCCCCCGGGGGGAGAGGAAAAAAAGGGGGAAAAAACCCCCCGGGGTTTAAAAAAAAAAAAAAAGGGGTTGGGGGGCCCCTTTTAAATTTTTAAAAACCCCCCCCCCCCAAAAAAAAAACCCCCCCCCCCAAAAACCCCCCAAAAAACCCCCCCCTTTTCCCCCCCTTTTTTTTTTTCCCCCCCCCCCCCCCCCCCCCAAAAAAAACCCCCCCTTTTTTTTTTTTTTTTTCCCCCCAAAAAATTTTTTTTTAAAAAAAAAAAAAACCCCCCCCCCGGGCCCCCCCCCCCCATTAAAAATTTTTTTTTTTTTTTTTCCCAAACTCCCCGGGGTTTCCCCCCTTTTTCCGCCCACCCCCCAAAAGGGCCCCCCTTTTTTTTTTTTAAACCCCCCCCCCCTTTTTCCCCCCCCCCTTTTTTTAAGGTTTTTTTTTCCCCCCTTTTCTTTTTTTCCCCAAAAACCCCCCCCAACCCCCAAAAAAAGGGGGGAAAAAAAAAAAAAAAAAAAACCCCCTTTTTCCCCCTTTTTATTTTTTTTAAAAAAAAAAATTTTTAAAAAAAGAAAAATTTTTTTTTTCCCTTTTAACCCTTTTTCCCCCCCCCCCTTTTTTTTTTTTTTTTCCCCCCCCCCCCTTTTGGGGGGGTTTTTTTTTTCCCCCTTTTTTTTTTCCTTTTTCCCCCCCCTTTTTTTTTTCTTTTTAACTTTTTTTTTTTTTGGGGGTTTGGGGGGGTTTTTTTTTTTTTTTTCCCCCAAATTTTAAAAAAAATTTTTTTTGTTTTTTTTTCCCCTTTTTTTCCCCAGGGGAAAAACCCCCCCCCAAAAAAAAAACCCCCCCCGGTTTTTCCCAAACCCGGCCCTTTTTTTTTTCTTTTTTCCCCCCCCCCCTTTTTAAAAAAAAAATTTTTTTCCCCCAACCCCCAAAAGCCCTTTTAAAAGGGGGGGTTTTGGGGGCCCCCCGGGGGGAAAAAAAAAATTTTTGGGGAAAGGGCCCCCCCTTTTTTTTGGGGGGTTTTTTAAAAAGGGGGGGGGGGGAAAAAGGGGAAAGGGGGGGTGGGTTTTTTTGGTTTTGGGGGGGGGGGGTTTTTTTTTGGGGGGGGGGGGTTTTATTTAAAAGGGGGAAAAATTTTTTTTTTTTTTCCCCTTTTAAAAACCCCCCCAATTTAAAATTGGGGAAAAATTTTTTTTTTTTTTCCCAAAAACCCCCAAAAAACCCCTTAAATTAATTTTAAAATTTTGGGTTTTTTTTCCCCCCCCCAAAATTTTAAAAAGGGGGGGTTTTTAAAGGGGGGGCCCCCCCCTTTTTTTTAAAACCCCCCCCAAAAAATTTTTTTTTTGGGAAAATTTTTTCCCCCCCCCCCAAAAAAAGGGGGGGGGGGGGGAAATTTTTCAAACCCCCCTTTTAAAAAAATTTTAAACCCTTTTTGGGGGGGAAAAGGGGTTTTCCCAAAAAAACCCCAAAAAAACCCCCCCCAAAGGGGGCCCCGGGGGAAAGGGGGGAAAAATTTTTTTTCCCCCAAAAAAAAAAAAAACCCCAAACCCAAAAAAACCCAAAAAGGGGGGGAAAAGGGGCCCCCCCCCCCAAACCCCAAAAAAAAAAAGGGGCCCAACCCAAAAAGGGGAAAAAAACCTTTTCCCCCCCCCGGGGAAAAAGGGATGGGCCCCCCCCCCCCCCGGGGGGAAAGGGGGCCCCCGGGGGTTTTTTGGGGGTTTTTTCCCCCCCCCCCAAAAAAATGGGGGGGGGCCCAAAATTTCCCACCCCCCCAAAAAAAACCCCGGGGGGGGAAAAAAAACCCCCCCCAGCGGGTTTTCCCCTTTTCTAAACCCCCCAAAAAAAAAGGGAAAAAAATCTCATCAGTGCTACAGTAAGCTGAGATCCACACCGTCCATCAGGGGAAATGGTTTTTAGTAATTTTTCCCTGTATCTGTCATGTTGAACTAACCTCCCTCTCAATTCAATTCAATTAAATTCAAAGGGCTTTATTGGCATGGGAAACATACACTACATGACCAGAAGTATGTGGGCATTAATATGGAGTTGGTCCACCCTTTGCTGCTATAACAGCATCCACTCTTCTGGGAAGGCTTTCCACTAGATGTTGGAAAATAGCTGCAGGGACTTGCATCCATTCAGCCACAAGAGCATTAGTGAGGTTGGGCACTGATGTTAGGCGATTCGGCCTGGCTCACAGTCGGCGTTCCAATTCATCCCAAAGGTGTTCGATGGGGTTGAGGTCAGGGCTCTGTGCAGGCCAGTCAAGTTCTTTCCACACCGATCTTGACAAACCATTTCTGTACGGACATCGCTTTGTGTACGCGGGCACAAAGGAGATGATTGTGGACTACAGGAAAAAGAAGAGGATCGAGCACGCCCCCATTCTCATCGACGGAGCTGTACTGGAGCAGGTTGAGAGCTTCAAGTTCCTTGGTGTCCACATCACCAACAAACTAACATGGTTCAAGCACACCAAGACAGTCGTGAAGAGGGCACGACAAAACCTATTCCCCCAGGAGACTGAAAATATTTGGCATGGGTCCTCAGATCCTCAAAAGGTTCTACAGCTGCACCATCGAGAGCATCCTGACTGGTTGCATCACTGCCTGGTATGGCAACTGCTCGGCCTCCGACCGCAAGGCACTATAGATGGTAGTGCGTATGGCCAGGTACATCACTGGGGCCAAGCTTCCTGTCATCCAGGATCCTCTATACCAGGCGGTGTCAGAGGAAGGCCCTAAAAATTGGCAAAGACTCCAACCACCCTAGTCATAGACTGTTCTCTCTGCTACCGCACGGCAAGCGGTAACCGGAGCGCCAATCTAGGTCCAAGAGGCTTCTAAACAGCTTCAGATTCTACCCCCAAGCCATAAGACTCCTGAACATCTAATCAAATGGCTACCTAGACTATTTGCATTGCTGCTCTTTAATTATTTGTTACTTTAATTTCGTATTATTTTATATTGTATTTTTGTGTGTGATTTTTTTTGGTATTCTTTCTAAAAACTGCATTGATGGTTAAGGGCTTGTAAGTAAGCATTTCACTGTAAGGTCTACACCTGTTGTATTCGGCGCATGTGACAAATACAATTTTATTTTATTTTATTTGATTGTCATGCTGAAACAGGAAAGGGCCTTCCCCAAACTGTTGCCACAAAGAAGGAAGCACAGCCTCGTCTAGAATTGCATTGTATCCTGTAGCGTTAAGATTTCCCTTCACTGGAACTAAGCGGCCTAGCCCGAACCATGAAAAACAGTCCCAGACCATTATTCCTCCTCCACCAAACTTTACAGTTGGCACTATGCATTGGGGCAGGTAACGTTCTCCTGGCATCCACCAAACCAAGATTTGTCCGTCAGACTGCCAGATGGTGAAGCGTGATTAATCACTATAGAGAACGCGTTTCCACTGCTCCAGAGTCCAATGGTGGCAAGCTTTACACCACTCCAGCCGACGCTTGGCATTGCGCATGGTGATCTTAGGCTTGTGTGCGGCTGCTCGGCCATGGAAACCCATTTCATGAAGCTCCCGATGAACAGTTCTTGTGCTGACGTTGCTTCCAGAGGCAGTTTGGAACTCGGTAGTGAGAGTTGCAACCGAGGACAGACGATTTTTACGGCTACGCGCTTCAGCACTCGGCGGTCCCGTTCTGTGAGCTTGTGTGGCCTACCACTTCGAGGCTAAGCCGTTGTTACTCCTAGACGTTTCCACTTCACAATAACATCACTTACAGTTGACCTGGGTAGCTCTAGCAGGGCAGAAACTTGACAAACTGGGCCTCCCGAGTGGCGCAGTGGTCTAAGGCATTGCATCGCAGTGCTAGAGGCATCACTACAGATCCGGGTTCAATCCCAGGCTGTGTTGCAGCCGGCTGCGCCCGGGAGACCCAGCGTCGTCCGGGTTAGGGGAGGGTTTGGTCGGCTGGGATGTCCTTGTCCCATCACGCTCTAGCGACTCCATGTGGCGGCTGGGCGCATGCACGCTGACTTCATGCATCTGTACTGTACGCATGGCTTTCGACCTTCGCCTCTCCTGAGTCCGTATGGGAGTTGCAGCAATGGGACAAGACTGTAACTACCAACTGGATGAGAAAAAAGTTTGAATAAGTACCCAAAAAAGTATATATATAAAAAAGACATTTGACGAACTGACTTGTTGGAAGGGTGGCATCCTATGACAGAGCCACGTTGAAAGTCACTGAGCTATTCAGTAAGGCCATTCTACTGCGAATGTTTATCTATGGAGATTGCATGGCTGTGTGCATGATTTTATACACCTGTCAGCAATGGGTGTGGCTAAAGTAGCCGAATCCACTAATTTGAAGGGGTGTCCACATACTTTTGTATATATAGTGTATGTTTACATTGCCAACGCAAGTGAAATAGATAATAAACAAAAGTGAAATAAACAATATCAAACAGTAAACATTACACTCACAAAAGTTCCAAAGGAACAGAGACATTTCAAATGTCATATTATGGCTATATACAGTGTTGTAACGATGTGCAAATAGGGAAAATTAATAAACAGAAATATGGGTTGTATTTACAGTGGTGTTTGTTTTTCACTGGTTGCCCTTTTTCTTGTGGCAACAGGTCACAAATCTTGCTGCTGTGATGGCACACTGTGGTATTTCACTCAATAGATATGGGATTGGATTTGTTTTCAAATTATTTGTGGGTCTGTGTAATCTAAAGGAAATATGTGTCTCTAAATGGTCATACAATTGGCAGGAGGTTAGAAAGTTCAGCTCAGTTTCCACCTCATTTTGTGGGCAGTGTGCACATAGCCTGTTTTCTCTTGAGAGCCAGGTATGCCTATGGCGGCCTCTCTCAATAGCAAGGCTATGCTCACTGAGTCTGTACATAGTCAAAGCTTTCCTTAATTTTGGGTCAGTCACAGTGTTCAGGTATTCTGCCACTGTGTACTCTCTGTTTAGGGCCAAATAGCATCTCTGTCTTTAGGTCTTTAGACCCCCCTACAACATGCTTCTCCAACTCACAAGCTATCTGTTCACACTTCCCAACAACTCTTTTCTCTCTGACCTGTTGAGTTGAAGTTCAATACTTTTAATGGCAAAGTGAAGAACTGTAAAAATGCCTGCTAACCTCCATCTCTCTCTCTCCTCCCCCCCCTCCCTCTCTCCCTCTTTACAGACCCAACATGAGATTTGACGACCACACCCCATCAACAGACCCTCCCAAGCTCCCTAAGATCCCCCATTGGCCCGGGAAGCAGCCCGCTCAGGAGGCCCTCCATGCAGATCCCTGTGTGGCCCTGTTCCAGCATCTCCGCCCTTGCTACAGGCCTTGGGGCCTGGCCAGGTCCCTTCTCTTCCACTTCCCCCACGGCTTCTCCAGCTCCCCCATCAGCAGCCCAGACACAGTCTCCGTCCTATCCCACATGGCCCTGGAGGACCCCTCCGCTCTCACCCTGGCCTCCGCATCCTCGTTGATGGGGCAGGGATGGCCCTCCTCCTGGCCTCTCTCCTGACCCAGGCCAAGGACCTATTAACCCTAGGGGAGACTGGGGCTGGCCTGTGGGGATATCCTGTGGAGCCCTGAAGGACCCCAGGGATGAGCTGGAGGTGAGGGCCTTCCTGGGGCCCTTCCTCTCCTCCTGGCAACCTGGGTTTGAGGCCCTACTGACGGGCGTGGTGGCCCGGTGTTGTGTACCCAGCTGGAGACCCAGAACTTCTGGTGACCGAGGGCAGGTGTGGGAGGGAGTGACCTTTGACCCCTGCTGTGTCAGAGTGTGTACGGTGCTGGAAAAGCAGGATGGAGAGAGAGAACAGATAGAGGATGGACAGATAGAAACAGTTGGCGATGGAGAGGAGCTGACAGAGAACAAGGGACAAGAGACGGAGAGTGATAGAACAGGTAGAGGAGGGGGGACAAGAGATGGAGAGTAAAGGGAGGAGAAAGAGAGAAAATGAGAGGGAGGGTGATGAGAGGAAGAAGTACAAAAAGAGGAGGAGAACCCAGATCAACATAGAATATGTCAGGAAGTGGAGGATGCTAAGAAAAAAACTGGAGGACGAAAAAGAAAAGAGAAATAGAGAAACAGAAGAGGATGATGATGACGAGAGAAGGAAGAGAATGAGTTGACCGGGTGGATCTGGGCTGAAGGAGACCCGAGAGGAGCCAGAGTTGGAGGACCGGGTGGATCTGGGCCTGAAGGAGACCCAGCAGAGGAGACCAGAGTGGAGGCCGGGTGGATCTGGGCCTGAAGGGACCCAGAGAGGAGACCCAGTGACGGGTATTGGGCCGAAGAACCCAGAGGAAACCAGAGTGGAGGCCGGGTGGATCTGGGCCTGAAGGAGACCCAGCAGAGGAGACCAGAGTGGAGGCCGGGTGGATCTGGGCCTGAAGGAGACCCAGCAGAGGAGACCAGAGTGGAGGCCGAGGCCAGGAGAACAGAGGAGAGAGAAGAAGTAGCAGAGGAGGTCCGTATGAAGTTTTGATCCATGGTAGCGTTGCCAAACTCATGAGCCTCTGCTCCACTCAGAGACAGATTTACAAGCTCTGCCCAGCGCAGACGACGACTACAACATCTGACAAGCACAACAACACACCACCACCACTCACCCAAAAAAACTCACCACCACCAGTCACCCAGGAAGACCCAGCCCTCTGTCCCCAGCCAGAGCATCCCTCTCTGGGCCAGCGTGGTAGTGGAGGAGCCCCTGGAGGAGGAGACCTGCTGTAAAAGTCATGGTTACTCTTTGTAGCCCGGACCAGGCCCTGCTGGATAGTGCCGAGGCTGCTCTTCGTCCTTCCCTGCAAGTCTACCGCTCCCTCCTAGCTGAGCCCAGTGTGGTGCCAGGGGCTAGGGCCTCTGAGGTGGGCTTGGCCACAGGGCTGACCCAGGATGGGTTAACCCTAGTGGGCATGGAGCAGCTGGCCGTCCATGCCTTCACCCAGGCCCTGCTGGAGCCAGTCAAAGCCTTGGGGGAGAAAGCAGGGACCCTTGCGGATCTGGCCATTCTGAGAGGGTACGGAGGGTGATGGGAGGGCAAGATGGAGGGGACCAAGGGAGCGTATCAAGGTGTGTTGGATGGGCTAGGGTGTAAGGCTAGTGCCATTGAGAAAGCTACTACGGACTAGCTGTCCTGAACTACTGAGCCAGATAGCAGAGGAGGAGAAGACCAAGATCTTCTTCCCTGTTACCACATACAGGACTTACATTTACAAATAAAACTAACCTGGTTCTGCTAATATGTAATGATATCTTACCTACCCCATAGTGAAGTATGCCATCTACCTACCCCATAGTGAAGTATGCCATCTTACCTGCCCCATAGTGAAGTATGACATCTGACCTACCCCATAGTGAAGTATGCCATCTTACCTGCCCCATAGTGAAGTATGACATCTGACCTACCCCATAGTGAAGTATGATATCTTACCTACCCCATAGTGAAGTATGACATTTTTGTAAGGGTTAATACATTTTCCGTTTGGGCAAATCAAGTCTGGAATTTCTAAGTGGAAATAACAAGCTTTAGAAGCATTTTTAAAACTCAAATACACTACAAGTTTGCATTTCCTGCCGTGCAGGAAAATTCTCAGCAACAAAAAAGTTATCAAATAAGAATCCTACATCTGAAGGTTGGCAGCAGTGACATGGTAGGTGTATAGTATTTACCTGTAGGCTGAGTGTACTGGTCTGATAGTCTTTAGGAAGAGAGATGGCCATGCTGGTCTGGGAGGTCTTGTCCAGCCAGGTGGTCAGTAGCTCCAGGGTCAGTAGTTTGTCCAAGCGGGCCAGACTCTCAACATGGAAGGGCATTAGGATCACCATGCTGCCCTGCCGCCCCACAGCCCCAACACCTGCACCATGTTCTCCATGTCCTCATAGTGACGGTACACTGGATGAATAGATGAAAATAATAAGAGAGTGGCCAGATATAAATGGGTTGTAAGAGAACTGGTTGTGAGCACGTTTTGGAGCTTTATTTTTATTTAGCCCATTCAGGAAAGTGAATTGACATTCAATTAATGAGATGAAAATTCGACATTAACTGAATTTTACACCTTGAACATGTTTAAACAGAATGGAGCCCAACCCTGGTTGTGAGCTTGTATGTATTGATGAGTGGATAATGGCGCCAGAGGGGATGGCTGCCATTTTACGGGCTCCTAACCAATTGTGCTATTTTGTGTGTTTTTTCGCATTGTTTGTAACTTATTTTGTACATAATGTTTATTTTATTGTGTTATAATTATATATTTTTTTGCTTTAGTTTATTTTGTAAATATTTTCTTAACTCTTATTTTCTTAAAACTATTGTTGGTTAAGGGCTTGTAAGCATTTCATGGTAAGGTCTACACCTGTTGTATACGGCGCATGTGACAAATCACATTACATTTTATTTGAGTAAGTAGTATGGACGACTCACCTACGTGGTGCATCATGGACACCTTGGTGTATTTGGTCCCCAGGATGCTGCATAGGTCTGCTGTCTCCTCATTGAAGTCTCTCTCCCACAGTCCTGCACAGAGACACAGAGAGGAGCGTGCTTAAAGTGGAACTGACAGCATTTTAACTACTTTGCAGATGTGAAACAAACAGACAATCATAATATCAGTCAGAAATATAAAATTCCCAGTTTATGCTACAAAACCAACTTCATAAGAGGTTTTAAAAATAGGTTCTCAGCATTCAGCATTCCATGACGTACAGTAAGGCATTGTTGGCAGAGTACATGGATGCAGTTCAATGCATGATTAATATAATTCACCAAAACATTTCTTGGTAGTCCAAAAAATATTGCTATCAGGTTGTAAATCACAGCTGGCCTGGTACATTGTTTGCTGCCTCCATTCGGGATGCAGTGTTTCAGTTTCAATGACTCAATATTTTGGACAAAAACGGACTAAAGAAACTAAGGCTGGGAATGTCAATACAATCAAACTAGCAAGGGCAATGATCATAAAGTGGCTAATAGGCTAGCATATCTATTTATGTAGCAAGCTAAAATTATTGACTAAATATGACCGGTGTAAGTAAACGTTGGCAAAATAAAGTTATAGTTAGTCACGAACAATTTAGATAACATGTAAACAGCCTAACCTGCTCTGCTAGGGCGAGTAAAATGGTCAGAGTGAGGTGTTCTCTCATTTGTGTCTGGAAGTAGCTAGCTAGCTAGCTAGCTAGACAACTTTAGCCAGTTAGCTTGGGTGCTTGGTTGGGACAAGCTTGCATTGGCGGGCAAGCTGCAGAAGAACGAGTAGGCTACTATTTACAATCATGTATCAGTGCAATTTTGACGGCCAACTAGCTGAAAAAGTTTGAGAGGGTTTATCTAATGTTCCCTTGTTAGATTTTAGCTTATCTTGCTCTGGCTAGCATTAGTTGTTGATCTTGTTGTTGATGTGCATAACTGAGGGAGAGTGAGCCTAACTTTTCATGGTTGTTTGATCAATAGGACTGTAAAGTTCCAAAATGTAAGAGGACTCTCGTGATATTTCAATTTTTGCAGAAATCCATTCAGGTATATTTTGTGGCTTTAGGCAAATGCGTTCTAATGATCTAAAGTTGCGCTGTTGCTACTGCCTGTAAACACACAGTCCAGTTCAAAGTGAATGATGGCAGGCTCGTGTGGCAAATGGCTTATTTGCATAAAGTCCTACTGAAGCTACGATTGGCTATGGCGCACCGGTCTGCGTAGACTCCGGTCCTGGACGAGACAGATGTTTTTATTAGGTTTTATTTACTGCAATGTCTATTAATTATCCAAACGCACAGCTGCTTTCCCACTCTATATTGATATAGAATTTTCACAAATACCTTAGTATACAGTGGGGAGAACAAGTATTTGATACACTGCCGATTTTGCAGGTTTTCCTACTTACAAAGCATGTAGAGGTCTGTAATTTTTATCATAGGTACACTTCAACTGTGAGAGGCGGAAGAAATCCAGAAAATCACATTGTATGATTTTTAAGTAATTAATTTGCATTTTATTGCATGACATAAGTATTTGATCACCTACCAACCAGTAAGAATTCCGGCTCTCACAGACCTGTTAGTTTTTCTTTAAGAAGCCCTCCTGTTCTCCACTCATTACCTGTATTAACTGCACCTGTTTGAACTCGTTACCTGTATAAAAGACACCTGTCCACACACTCAATCAAACAGACTCCAACCTCTCCACAATGGCCAAGACCAGAGAGCTGTGTAAGGACATCAGGGATAAAATTGTAGACCTGCACAAGGCTGGGATGGGCTACAGGACAATAGGCAAGCAGCTTGGTGAGAAGGCAACAACTGTTGGCGCAATTATTATAAAATGGAAGAAGTTCAAGATGACGGTCAATCACCTTCGGTCTGGGGCTCCATGCAAGATCTCACCTCTTGGGGCATCAATGATCATGAGGAAGGTGAGGGATCAGCCCAGAACTACACAGCAGGACCTGGTCAATGACCTGAAGAGAGATGGGACCACAGTCTCAAAGAAAACCATTAGTAACACACTACGCCGTCATGGATTAAAATCCTGCAGTGCACGCAAGGTCCCCCTGCTCAAGCCAGCGCATGTCCAGGCCCGTCTGAAGTTTGCCAATGACCATCTGGATGATCCAGAGGAGGAATGGGAGAAGGTCATGTGGTCTGATGAGACAAAAATAGAGCTTTTTGATCTAAACTCCACTCGCCGTGTTTGGAGGAAGAAGAAGGATGAGTACAACCCCAAGTACACCATCCCAACCGTGAAGCATGGAGGTGGAAACATCATTCTTTGGGGATGCTTTTCTGCAAAGGGGACAGGACGACTGCACCCGTATTGAGGGGAGGATGGATGGGGCCATGTATCGCGAGATCTTGGCCAACAACCTCCTACCCTCAGTAAGAGCATTGAAGATGGGTCGTGGCTGGGTCTTCCAGCATGACAACGACCCGAAACACACAGCCAGGGCAACTAAGGAGTGGCTCCATAAGAAGCATCTCAAGGTCCTGGAGTGGCCTAGCCAGTCTCCAGACCTGAACCCAATAGAAAATCTTTGGAGGGAGCTGAAAGTCCGTATTGCCCAGCGACAGCCCCGAAACCTGAAGGATCTGGAGAAGGTCTGTATGGAGGAGTGGGGCAAAATCCCTGCTGCAGTGTGTGCAAACCTGGTCAAGACCTACAGGAAACGTATGATCTCTGTAATTGCAAACAAAGGTTTCTGTACCAAATATTAAGTTCTGCTTTTCTGATGTATCAAATACTTATGTCATGCAATAAAATGCAAATTAATAACTTAAAAATCATACAATGTGATTTTCTGGATTTTTGTTTTTGATTCCGTCTCTCACAGTTGAAGTGTACCTATGATAAAAATTACAGACCTCTACATGCTTTGTAAGTAGGAAAACCTGCAAAATCGGCAGTGTATCAAATACTTGTTCTCCCCACTGTACATCATTCCCAAACATTCTAAGAGTATATGAAAACGTGAAAAGGACCATATCTAAGTGCTAACTCAGAAAATGTAAAAAAGGGTGTCATATTCTTCCTGGTGGTGTATACGAACAGATTTGAATAAGATTTAATGTTGCCTAAATGCTGTCAGTTCCACTTTAAATACTGGAGTACTGTAGGCTTTGCTTTTACAAGGACATGCACTACAACAACCCTAAAAAATACAAACAACGCACTGTGTAGGGAGATACTAAGTCCTAAAATAGTATGAGTCAAGACAAAACCCTACACACAAACAATGTGCTATAAAGCATTTATACATACTGTAGAGTGCATTGAAAACCCAAGTTGCTCTCCTCAACAGAGCTATGTCATTGGCTCACATCTCAGGGCCAATCAAAGTCAGTTATGAGGTCACTTACAGGTCTCCTCAATTCACCACTCAATCACCCCATTTAGCTCACCTCACCTTCTCACTCCTGTCAATTTAGAAGGACTAAAGCTGCACTACCACAGTCATAAACTATTTTTTCACACTATATATTCCATTACAAAAGCCTCCTGCCCCGTTCCATAGAGGGAAGGTAATTGATAGAGGGGAGT